AAAAGAGTTTTACATATTGCATACGGGACATCCGGATCTCACTTGAGGAAGAGGATATACTTCAGACGGATACTACTTTGGTGGAAACGACAATAGATTTGCCAAAGCTATCAAGATTAGCAAGAAAAACATTGGAAATTTCTGCAACTAGTACTTCTTCTGAACGAGGATTTAGCATTGCTGGAAGGTTTTTAGAACAAAAAAGAACGTGTTTGAATCCAGAATGTTAATTTATTATTATTTTTGCATTATAATTACATATAATATCAATTTTATATTTATATTTATTTCATAAATATTCTATTTGATCAAATAAATTCATAATTTAAATTGAAATTTTTTTATGCTTAAATTAATTTCCTAAATTATAAACTTTTATAGAGGTGTAAATGCTGAAATATTTTTATTAGATGTTTAAAAAATTGAAAGAATGGCCTTTATTAAATTTTATAAGTGGACTTGGGTTAAAATTATTTATAAATAATGGGCGGGCGGTTAAAAAATTTTAGACTAATGGGCGGGCAGGCGGGCGGATAATTTAGACAAAAGGGCGAAACGGGCGGGTATATATTTTTGAAAACTATGGGCGGGTTGGGCGGGCGGGTTAAATTTTTTTAAAACATTGGGTGGGCGGGCTTTTGGTTAAGTCCAAGCTCATAATAATTTTGAAAAATTTTCCCCAAGCCCAGCCCAATATAATTTATAAAAACATTTTCCAAGCCCAGCCCAACCCATAATAATTTTATAAAAAAAATTTCTCAAGCCTGGCCAACCCATAGTAATTTTCAAAATTTTTTCCCAAACCTGGAGATAAGTAAATCTCTAAAAACCATATCTATATTTTATTCTATTTTAACCCAGCTCACCCCTACTTCAGACCAAGGCCAACCCATTAAAACTAAGAGTGAATACTATTTTTTTGAATGAAAATATATTTAAATTAGCTTTTACCTAAGGGCCATATAAATATTTTGTGTTAAATATTACACCTATGCCTAATATTAAAAAAATTTCCACCAGGTCCACATACTTGGGAAAATTTTCTCAAACTCGCCAAAGACCATAATAATTTTGGTAGTTGAGAACTGAAATAAAATATATACAAATTCACAATGCATTTAAAAATACAATCAGAATATGAAAGTTGCATTGGTTTTTGATCAGGCCTGGCCATGTCTTTAAAAGAAATTTTCAGACCAATTTCTGGCCCATATTTAAAATTAAAAAATTTTCAGGAATCTAAGACTATATTAATTTAAAAAATGTTTCCCAAATCTACGTCCAAGTTCATATTAATAGTGAAAAATATTTCCCAAGCCCAGAAAAACCAAGAATAATTTATTTTTTTCTAGGATTCAAAAAAATAGGTCTGATGTAGTTTATAAGATTTAAATCTGTCTAATATGTACATAATTTTTTTTGCCATTTTATATTGGAAAAATTTTTCAAAATTATCATCAAATGAAGGGGAAATATCTGATTTACCCATCATTCTACTCGTTAGCTCTTGGTATTTATACGAAATTCATGAATACATATTTTAAAGTAACATGCTGAAATATGTTCATCCTAATTTAAATTTTAAACAAACCACCACCCTTCCAAAAGATTTATTACTTAGTTACAAAATATAACTTTAAGACTTTTGTTTTCTGAAAGTTCAATATAATATTCGGAGGAATAATAAGAATCAGGTTTATTTTTCAAAGAATCCCATGATATATTTTAATAAATTCATGAACCAAGTTTATTTTATTAAAGAATCAAATTTATTTTTCACTGAAAATACAAAAAAATTCGTTTTTTATAAAATATTTAATTTAAATTATCACCGAAGGTAACAAGTTGACCTTTCGAAATAAATTGTAATTTGTAAAATGTCATTAACAATTAGAATTTGTATGGTTCAATGTCATTAACAAAAAAAGAAAAACAATTTAAAATTTGAATGTCATTACCAAAATATATAAAAAACAAATAGTATATAAAGGAATAAAAAAAACAATTACAACTACTTAACAAATACATTGTTGTTAAATTACAATAGAAAAAATAAAAAGATATTCTAAACAAATAATAGGAGGTTAACTTTATTCTTGGTTAAATTATATATAAGTAAAACAAAAAGGTTATAAATTTAATCAAAAATGTTATAATAAGTTATGAAAACATACATTCTACAGTTAAATTATGAATTTATAAGAAAATATGCAAAACTATGGAATGCATAATTTTTCAGAAAAGATAAGAGAGATGCAAATATTTACCTATGCATAAAAATTACCTAATTAAAATATATATAGTTGTATAAAATTTAATGTGGAATGGATCCTTCTTAAGGGTTTTTTAATACAAAATTCTCATCTAGCAAGAATAAATTTTAGATTATAAATTAAAATTACAAATACAAATGAATAAAAATTTAGAAAAGATTTTTTAATTGTGCACATAAATTAAAATTACTAAATATATACTTCATTAAAATATTTTATAAAAATAATGGAAAATTTTAGAATAAGCTCAAATAAATATAAATTTTTAAATAACACCTAAGATAGGTAAATTTCTGATTCATCCCTCATCAAATAAAGGAGAAAATTTTGATTCTCCAATATAATGGTATAAAATTTTAAATGATAGATTAATTCATGAATTAAAATAGTATTTAAATAAATCTCTTATTCCTCTTGAATTGGTACTTGATACATTTATAGTTCTACTGATCCCTAAATATTCATGAATAGGTATAATATTAGGTATATATTCAGTGCATTTAATTATCTTTTGCAGGAATATAATTGGACGAATATTTTTTAAAAGAATTTTAAAAATATAAGAAATACCTATTTAATAGTTTTAATTTTAAAGTAACTACAAACTTTGAATATCTTCTATTTGATTAATTTTGCCAGATTAAGAAAAAAAAATGTATTTTGCCGCTGGGATTCGAATCTAAGTCGATGGACGCTCTTGCCGATCGGACCGCAGACACTTTTCAAAATTAACGATTTTTTATATATATATTATAAATTGTGAAAGTGTGACTGTCAGAGTGTGACAAGGCTTCTATATATATTATAGATGTGTTATCAAAATATTTACCCATCCTATAGCGGCCTGCCATTAGACCAAGTGAGCATTTTGCCCACAAAGCCTCAGGGAAATGTTGATTTGACTTTTCTCTTAACATATTCATATATTTTATTAAATAATAAGTTAATTTTAATTATATTACCTTTTTTAAATTTACAATGTTATATCAATTCATTACACCTGAGGATTATTATTTAGATATTGCTATTTTAGGTTAATAAAATGCGTTTCCGTTAAAAAGAAAGAAAGTGAGTTTTGATAAATTTATAATTTATATATGATTTTATTATTCAATAGATAGAATTCAATTTAAAAATAATCAAATGAATCTATAGATTCGCACAATATCCGTGTAATATAACAAATATTCGAGATAATAAATTTTTTAGGTAAACAAAACTTATCCTACAGAAAATCAGACCAATATGAAACATTTTAAAATTTTGAATGGAATTATGGAGGCCACTTAGATAAGATTATTTTCAGGAACAAACAAAGAAAAGGAAAGCTAAAACTCTCTAAATCAAAATCTATACCTAATAACTTTGTTGAAGACAACCATTAATAAGGTTTAAGGCTGTTCTAGGTAAAATTAAAAATTTAATTTTAAAAAAGGAAATAGGTAGCAAACGATTTATAAATATATGGTGCCCAGGACATCAGCTGATCTTGGCGAATCAAAAGAATGGATGCTCTATATTTTTAAATAATTTATCAAAAAAATAGGCAAAACAATGGCGGACTCGAGAAAACCTTTAGATGGTTATATGGTGAAGAGAATATAATTTATAATAAATCAGCTAAATTTTTGTTTGAAAATTTATGCCAATTTAAAACTTTAATCAGCTCAAATTTTTTAGATAATAATTTCTTCAAATTTAAATTTTTTATTTTACAGCTTGGAAAATGAAAGAAAATGTCAACTTTTCTATGTCTATTACACCCATTCAAAATAAAGTTATGAGATTGGGTAAAAATTTAAGAAATTTATGACTTAAAGCTGCGATACCACCTGGGTACAAAATAAAATGCTAAAAAATAGAATAAGTCGAACAAGGAGAATGTACAGACATAAATGCAATGATGCAAAATATTTTGATGAAGGGTTTTGAATGTACAAAAAGCTTATAATGAATTTACAAAGCTTTCAAGAAAGTTTCACAAATATTCACTTATAAATTACGACATGAATTGTCTTCATTTACTCATATTTACAAAATTTAATAGTCTAGCTAAATGAAAATACTTGCTAGATAATTTATGATAGTGAGGAGTCTAATAAGCGAAAATAAAATAATGCAATAATAATTAATAATAAATTTAACCAAATCTAATCTTATATGTCCTTGAGATTCTTTTACTCAATAGGGCTGGCACATTTGAAAAAAAATATTAATACTTACCATTATTCAAAGAAAATAGTTAAATTACCATTGTTGTCTTGAAAAATATAAGTAACGTTCTTCGCTGCACATTTAAAAATGAGAATAAATGGAAATCGAAAAATGCGGTAAAGAATTTAATTAACTTTGAAAGTTAAAAATAAAAAGCAAAGTCTATTTTCAGACATTCGTAAATTTAAAATTATATAAAATAGTCTGAGGGCAAATATGCGGCAAGATAAAATTGAAGGCATTTTTGCTGAGAGAATTGTTGATAGAATAAATTAGAAAATTCTCGTTTATAGACATTTTTATCCAAAAATATAAGAAATAATAAAAATCTTGTATAATAGGTATAAGCCATTAAAGGGAACCCGGCTGAAGGAAGATTCTCTAATTATTATTTGACTTGACAATAGTGATAATTTGTTTCTTGTTAAATTTAAATTGCTTCTTCAGAAAAAATATTTTACCCAATATTTATTTAAAATTGCTCAACCTTTTATTTACACAAAAAACTTTAAGGACCTTATCAAGTTATTAAAGCCTCACGGGAAAATATTGAATTGTAGATTCCGATCCATGCCTTTAATTTCTAAATCAACCGCCTATCTCCCTAACATGAATAAGGATGTATCGAAAAATTCGGCTATATCTCCTATCACTTCTTTGTTATCCCTTAAAATAGCCGCAAAAATAAGCCAAAATAATAACCCTGACAAGGAACAATATTTTCATTCTTCCAGAACGAATAAAAACGCTTACGTCAATTTTGAATCCAATCAATCTGTAATCGAAGCTATCCGAGCATTAAATGGCTTTTATTTCAAAGGTACACATCATTTACGATTAGACAAAGTCAAATCAATAACTTTAGTAATAAAAAAGCAACTCAATGCTAACGATTCGATTACACATGGAATCGTTAAATATGATGATAAGAGGACAATATTTTTGGGAAATTTACCCACCATGAATTGCGAAGAGGAAGATATCTGGAATTTATTTCAAGAAAAGTATGAATTACCTATCGAAGCTGTGCGAATTATCAGGAATAAGGATGCTGTAAAAGGCACTGGATGCGGATTTGTGTTGTTTAAAGTATACAAATCATTTTTTAATATTATTAATTTATGCTACATATCATATTCTATTCTTAAGAGCTCTGATTCAGTTCCTATCGCTTTACTCATGGACGAAAAGCAAAAAATTAATGGAAGAGTTATCCGAATCAAAAAGTGTGCCAAGCCTAAAAACGTATGTATTGTGAAACGAAAAAACACTAAGAATGCACACAAAAGAAATTCTGTTTAACTTGTTATGTCAATAATGTTGTTATGTTGTATATTTACATATAATAAATTTCATACTGAAAATTTAATTCGTTTTCCTCTCTCTTTAAAAAGTAACTAATCTTTAACCTATATTTTTTACAATTATGCAATATAAAATGAATAAAGAAATTGGCTAAGAAATCATTTTATTATAAATATACCAAGGCATTTTACTTAATACTTGAATATAAAATTTGCTTAGGTTAATTACTGATAGAAAATTAAAGAGAAAGTTTATTTATGTAATATATATAGTAATAGTTACTATTACTCATTTTGAATTTTTAAATCCCACTCCCCTTAGTGATAGATGTGAAATAATATTTTATTTAATATAATAAATATCAGATTTGAAATACAAAGTCATGGTATTATTATAAATAATATCATATTTATCATTTTATTTGTCAAGATGTCGGAACATTTTATATTTTCAAACTACTTATAATTATTAGATTTATATTTTAAAAATAAAATTATTTTATAACTATTTTATCATTTATAATCTGGACGGTTTGGCATTTATCTAAACCGTCTCTTGACCACCACCGATTAAAATTTATATATTTATTTTTAAAATTATGCGGTATACCCTTATCAACAAAATAATTTAATTTTTGACACAGAGTACATCAATAATTAAGTTTTATAACTTTATAATTATTTTTCCAGTTAAAATATAAAATGAATGCGCTAGAAATTATATCTAGATGTGCAATATGACATGCTAAATTACGAATCGACTTATATTTTCCAACGTCTAAAAATGATCTCGAAGGTTATTGGTAGTCAACCGCCCCAAAAACTATTGGTACGATATTATATTTCAAAATTCCAAATATTTTTTCAGAAGCTATTGTGGACACATGCTATTTTCAAAGGATATATAAAATTTGTAAGATCTAATCTTTGCGGCACACTGCTCTTTCATGTATTCTATATTTATGTATTTCATAAAAATTTGTTTAAAAAAAACTACATCGAGGAAATATTACACCCTAAGCTTCAGTTATTATTGGAAATATTTTTTATTCTAAAAAAAGCATTTTAAACCTATATATATTTGAAATTCATATTTAATATAATTCAAAATATTTATAACCCCCCCCCCCCCCATAAATATTTGAAATTCATATTATCTCTTCCACATTTCCCGAATATCTCGACATTAACATTCTTTTGTAATTCTTTGACAATTAATTCTCTTTTACTGGTAGTTAAAATTGCTAACCAACCATAGAAGGCAGGTTTTTGAGACATATCAGATTTGTTATCTTTTTTAAAATATTGATACAATCATTGGCGTATGCAGCGGGGGAAGGGGGACAAATCCCCCCCCTTCCCCCCAAAGCCAAAAAATGCAGATGCCGGATATATTTTTCAAAAATATTATTGTTTATATTAATTTATATTTGTTAATATTTATTCGTATCTCATATTAAATATATATTTAATTACATTTATTATCACATTTATCTACTAAGTTATTTTATCAATTAATTTCGATTTCAAGTTTTCCGGCGTAATTTACTTATTATTTTCAAATTTTTAGTGGCGTAATATTTATCTACCATTTTCAAATTTCTAGTCAAATAATTATTAATTCTGAAACTTCTTGTCCAATAGGAAAAAAGAAATTGCAGTCCAACGAGATAGAGTCTCTGCCATCAAGCAGTAACAGCTTTTAAGTAGAAGAGCCAATTATTTGCTATTACTGAAATATCACAATGGCCTGAAAGAAATATTTCTTCAGAAGCAAGAAAATTATTGGATTCAATGCTTATTCCAAATTTTATTTCTCATTAGAATGTATTATTTAATTATACAACTATTTTAAGTATTACTTTTCAAAAACATGACATTGACTTGATTAAGAAGATGAGAATAGCGGAGAGCATTTTATCAGAACTCAAGGAAATTATG